GCAAGACCCGGAAATATATAGCCCAAGGGAAAGAGAGGGACAGGAAGGACAGCAGACCGGAAACTAGGGACAGGACAGAGAAGGAGGGCCCTCTGGCTGCAGAGGGCGTGACAGTAGTTTCAAATTACCCAATCCAATCTCCTATTCTCTTGCAAAGGTTGGGGATTTTAGAGTTCTGTCGAAGAGTATACCACTGGTAACATGCAACATTATTCTTAGAGCCATAAAATGTAACACAATCATAACCAGTGAATAACTAAATTCTGTGTCTGTTGAGAGAAGTGGGACTGGAATCAGGAATGTGATTTGACATGTTTCCAAGAGCACATTTCTATAGTATCATTCCTGTCTGTCCTTTTATTCTCTCTTCTTAGGCAGTTGACAATGTAGCAGTGAACAGGCTGTACCTATCCTTTGTGCTGTTTGCGATGTTGAAAGAGACTAATCTGTGGACTGTGGCTGAGAAGTTCAGCCTGACACGAGGCTTTGTGCAGAGTTTGCTGAGTTCATCCTCAGCCTTCTGTTCATGTGTCCTGCATTTCACAGAGGTATGCTATCTCTTTTTGTTAGGAAACATGGCACACAAAGGCAATTTGCTTGTTGCAAATGTTTTTTTCTTCTCATTTAAGAATGTTTTAATCCTCTGGAGTCCAGGTTACAGTTTTGAATAGCATGTCTCCTGAAGATTCTGTTCCTGTCCTTTTCATTTTCAACTTTAAAGCTGTCCTTCAACAGTTCATTTGAAATATTTTTTTTCTTGAATAATGATCAGTTAAAGAAACAAGCCATAACAAAGTCCTACAGTAGGAAATTCTGAACGCTAGGAGTACATATACCAGATGTTTGTGTTTGCTTTCTCTGAACTTCTCTTTCCTTGCTAGGAACTGGAAGAGTTCTGGGCTTACAAGGCACTCCTCACAGAGCTCACTAAAAGACTCACATATTGTGTCAAGATAGAGCTGATTCCTCTAATGGAAGTAGCTGGAGTTTTAGAGGTAAGTGTGAAGACATGGGGACCCTCGTGAACAAATGGTTTTGCATCTCTTGAGGTCATCCTTATAATCAAAAATCAATTATCTTTGGAGTGGAATCAAGATACATTGAAGCAGAGCTTATTTTAAGTTTGTGTGCTTCATTTAAACCAAAGAGCCAGGTGATAGGATTTAGAAAAGCTTTTAATAAAGAAAAATGCAATTAAATCCTCTGTTAAAATACTAAAACAGTTGTTTGTTTGATTTTATAAGGACATCTATTTAAAAAAGATTTGGTCCATAACTCAATATGTGCAAGCAGAACTTGTGAATTCACTTGAAAATTATACTGAAATTGACAAATCTTCATAATTTCTGAAATTAAGACACAAATGTTGGGTATGTAAGTGTTTTGAAAAGCATGTTTACTAAATTTACTACTAAGTTTACTATTTATTTTGAATAAGAGCAGTGGTTTATTAGAAAAACTAAGTATAACTAAATCTGAAGTTTGTGTCCAGTGGCACAATAAAGTGATCTTCTTTCTATCCTGCAGTGTTTATTTGATAAAACCATCAACCTTATACGCATTATTTTGCTCAATGAAAAATACTATATATGCATTAAAAGTAGAAAAAGAAGCTTCACAAAAGATGTATTAAATATTGTACTAAGATTACAAAATAGAACATGGTGTGTCAAAGCAAACTGGGTCTATAATTCCATTTTTGATTTGCACATCTGAAAATTATATTTACTTGCATTCTTGATTAGTTCAGTTATTAACACTTTGAGCTCAGTTTTGCCTTTTAAATTTATCAGTGCTCAAAGATTAATCAAGGCTTTCCTAAATTTAATTTCAAAATGCTCTTAGGGCTTTCTAAAATAGATGTACTGTATTTCATACAGCCCTTACCTTGATAACTGTCATTCCTACTTTGAGGCCCTCTGTTGACCTTTCAGTGTTTTTTTGACTGTATTTTGGCAGGCTCGAGCCAAGCAGCTGTACGGTGCTGGGTATAAGACCTTGGCTCATCTTGCCAATGCGGACCCAAATCTTCTTATAAAGGCAATAGAGAACCTCTCCAAACGACAAGCAAACCAGATTGTAGCTTCTGCCAAAGTGAGTCATCCCTTAAAATTGAATCAGCTAACTTTCACCCAAAGAATAATGGCTTACTGAGAACACACTGTGTTTTACTCCCTAATTTAATCAAGATAGTAAGATGCATGTTTTTGTGACAGGTCCAGTCCTATTATACATCAGTTAATTTAAATGGCAAGGCCTGCTTATGTCTATTGATTTTTAATTTTGTCATCCAAAGTCCAGACACAAGACCCATGTCTCTGACCATAATTGGTTTGGTTATCTCTCATGGGCCCAGTTTACTGTGTTCAGAGTGTGCTCTGTTGTGCAGTTTGTTGTGACATTGGTAAAGCAGTAAAAATACCACAAAATCAGTTATCATTGATTACTGGCAGAAAGATTGGTAACTGTTTATGAGTGGATATTAAATACATACTTTCTATTTTAACCCATTCAAATACTTCCCACAGAATGGATACTACTGAAAGTGGTTGATGTTTCAGTATTCCTTAGTGGTTTCTGCAAAGATGTTTGAAATACATTCTTGTGCTTACCCTTTAATTCTATTTTAACAACATGCATAAACAGCATAGAAGCAAACAGAAAAATAATTAATTCCAGCGCAGCCTCTACCCAGCCTTTCCATCAAAAAAAGTTCACCCTCAACACTCCCTTCACTGGCCATCAGCAAGACAGATGAATAAAAGATAAAAGGCCACATCAACAAAAGTCACACCATAACCTTAGCCCACTCCCATATTCCACATGCAAAAGTAGAAGTATGACTGACTGACCACATTTTGAGCAAAATGATGTCTGTAATAGTAAGTATCCAGCTCCTCTTCTCAGGCTGCTCCAAATACAAGAAAAGTTAATTGTTAATTTCTGTAAACCATTTGTAAGAAAGAGAAAATTATCTGTGCTGTTAAGCCAAGCAATATTATAATTCCAGTCGAATTTGATGAAAAATGTTCAGACTCTTTATAATGTTAATGATTTATTTATCTTGAAATGCATTCAAAAGGATTTGGATTGCTTTCAAACACATCAGTGCATTGTTACAAATGTACTTGTGTTGTAAATGCATATTTGTAAAGCTAAATGTCATTTAAAATCTGTGTTTTTTTAGATGCTGCTAACTGAAAAGGCAGAGGCCTTGCAAGAGGAAGTGGATGAGCTGCTGACTTTGCCACATGATCTACCTTCTCTTTAAACAGTTGTACAGTTCAGTTTTTAAGAAAGACAAATTGTGTAGAAATGTATAAAGCTTGAGATTTTATTTTGAAGAACAAATAAGTGTTTTTTGTTTTTCAAAAAGCTGTCATTCTTTTTTTCCAGTCCAGCCTCAGAATGTACTTCTACAGGACGATCCATTATAACCGGTTTCTCTTGTGGGTTCTTGAAAGAAAGCATATGTCTGATGGCTTAAAGTGTCATCCTTTGTAGATACGTTCTTAATTTTCAAATGCTAAACAAGGGTTTTATAACTACTGTACCATTGTAATTCTAGGTAGCAGATGTGTGCTGTACACTTAAGTGATGGCAATTTAGCGAGGAAATTGTTTTTAGTAGTGTAAACTTGTAGTTCAAGAAATTAACATGTGCCTTTTACTGCTTTCTTCATTGTTAATAAACGAGAAGTGACACATCCACTTTAAAGTTAATATTTACATCTGTACTGTGCCATTCCATTGTCATTTAACTTACATCTCTGGAATTTACCAAACATACAATCCCTAATCTAAATATATGTATAGTGTGACATCAAGTTCTTTTCTAAGTTAAATCTTACAATGAACTTATCAACCTTAAACAAGGTCTTGTTTTATTTTTGTTCTGTGAAATGAGTCGTGCACAATATCATATGAAGAGGAAATTGTGGGATTTTGTTTTATTACGGTTATAATTTGTTATATCATTCTTTTAAGATTGATATAAATTTAAATTATCTAAACCAAATCTGAGGTTCTAGTGCTGGTCTGCATTTTTGTACCGGCACTGTGGCAGTTATTTCAAAGTCCATACCTGTATTATATCAATGAGGATATGGGTATTCATCTTGATAATGATTAACAGTGAGCAATGCAAATCTAGAGCTGCAGAAATAACTTGAAATTTAGGTTACACTATACATCTAATTTAATGATAATGAAGGCAGTTAGAGGAGAACATCAATTTTATATGTAACCTTTTTGCTATACAGTAAGCCAGAAAACCTCTGAAGGCTCATAGAAAATGCGTTGTGTGCAGCTGAGACTGTATAGTGCATTTCTTTTAATTTAATGTTGTTCTGATACAGTACATATGAGAAAACAGTTTCTCCAGCAGTGTTCCAGTTTTTCAAGTTTCCTTCTTTCCGTTAAACCAAAGATGTATTTTCTTTATATTTTTATATTTCTTTACAGCCTTATGATCATGTATTTTGGAAGTTCACAATAAAGACATTAAAAGACACCTTTGTGTTCTTCATGACAGTATGTGTGTGCATATAGAGTATATACACCTGGAAATGACACTACTGATTATTGACTGAGGATGAAAGCACACTGATGAGAAAAATAATAAAAATTCAAAAAAGATAAAAAAAATACAATTAAATCAGAAGACTACAAATGCATGAGCAAAACACAATGGTTTAATTACATGAAATATAAAAAATGAACAAAAAATACCCAACATTTTTGTTTGATAATGTTCTGTATGTTGTTGAGCAAGCATTAAGGAAAAACAGGGTTTATTGTATAATCAACACTAAGTCAGGCTATTTACGAAAGATGCTGTGAGGTGATTATACAGCTCTACTGTGAATTAGCTTAATCATTATGTTCTCTTTCCCACTGTTCCCCATCATTATGCTTTCTTCCCCGCTAATAATAATGATAATAATAATGATAATTAATAATAATAATGTTATTACTAATGTTTTTTACTAATAATAATATTGTTGTTGATGTTGTTGTACACATGCTCTGTTGGGTTCTGGGGTGGAGTCGGATGTGTGATATGTTATAGGTTAAATTCATCCAGAGAGTCATCAGAGTTTCTCCGGCAGTGTTAAACTTTATAGTCCATACTTATGTTTCAAGAAGAGGTTTCCCATAGCAATAGTTTCAAGAGGGCGTTCTGTATGCACCTGCGGTTAGTATACTCATAGAATGACAATGGCTAGATTTCTACTCATACACTAAATCCCACCTACTCCTTTCTGATTTTAGCTAGAATTCACGTGGGCTGGCTGTATTCATACAGTATGATGTTCCGCATTCATAGAGAAACTACCAATTATAATTTTGCTTCCTCTTTCTGTTTGATTTTGGGTTGATAACTTGAGTTTTGAGGAAATGGCGCGTCTGTGTAGTTCAAAAACTATTACTCCGATCAGAGAGCTAGAACTACTTTTTACTTCTTGTAAATAGTAGGACAGAAAAGGCAACATGGTCATCACGGTACTGGTCGTTGTCCTGTTTTTAGGAGTAAATACAGCAAACGTGGAGTCTGCCAGAGAGGATGTTTTGAGATTTGCGTTGATCAAAGCCGATCTTTTTCAGGTTGTGAAAAAAGTGAACGAGAGGTTTCTGTCTGTGACTATAGACGCAAATTTGATTTCTGAAGAGAAGTACGTCGACATTTTAAGGTAAGCTTTTAAAAATATTTTTTTCTTATCAAGAAAATCTACCTGAGTCGGTAGATGTTTACTGTATATTTTTTCCAGGAAGAAAACTAATCTTGAAAAGAAATGTCTTCAAATTTAAGTGTACGATTGGACCCTGAGTCTTAGCATTACGTCTCCCAGTGATCAGAATGATTCAAGCCTTTTAATTCTATTCTATTCTAAGCTATATTGTTCCAAATTGTAAAGGTACTTTAAAAAAAAACATTGTATTTTCTAAACGTCGATGAAACTATTTGTAAGAGTCTAAAGCTTTAATAATCTTTATAATAATGTAATCCGGTGTTAACTGGAAAAGTATGTTATACTTTCAAGTTTGTTTTAAAACCTTATTAACTAAAGATACGACCCCGTTTTTTTAAATAGATTTGGATAAACATTTTCTGTGCTTGTTGAGGTATGTAAAAGTAGTTTTTTCACGATATTCTGTGCAAAGTGATCCAGCCATGCAACTAAATTATAGATAATCACATTTGTTATATTCTTGTGTAGTTTAATATAGTTCTTTAACTGCACCAGGTCTCAAAAGCTGAAGACGCTCGCGAAAGCCTTGTCACCGGGATTTTTACGATTTGGTGGAACGAAAGCCGACTTCATGATATTTTCCCCCAGAAATGATTCCATAAAACAAAGAGATTTCAAGAGCACTTCTGAGTTTCAAGGTAGTGTCATGAGAAATCATGCTCTTACACATCGTTACAGGCATGGCATATGTCGTTCTCCCTATGAAAATTATGAAAGTACTCAATTTTTATCTTGAAATTTGCTGTTTGGTTTCGGAAATTATTAATTTGATTTTGGACAAAGTGCACATCTTATAAACATTTAGTTTGTTTACATAGAACTTTAAAAACGTTTCAGATTCATGACAGACAAATGAAGTCACGAGACTTAAGCTACATAGGTGGCACTGTAGAACGGAAGCTATGGCTGCTTCTTCATAGCTCTTAGGTTCTTGGGTCAAATCTGGCCTGGGCCTCCTTCTGAGTGTAGTTTACATGTTCTCCCTGTGGCCCAGTGACTTATCTCTAGCTGCTCCATCTTCTTCCATATTCTAAAAATATTCTGTGTTGGTTAATTGGCATCACTGTATAGTACCTTACCATGGACTGGCATCCTGCCCAGCATGTACTGTATACTGACTACTTCCCATTGTCTGCTGGGTTAAACTCTGGTTCACAATTTGTTTATTGAATATGGGTGGATGGATTTCAGCTGCAAGGTCCGGATTCACAATAAAGGGTGATTCAGACTCAGGTGCAAATTGATTTTGTCTGGCTCTGGTAAATTAAAAACTTTACAAATTCAGGAGGTGTGCTGATGCATGATTCACTTGGCATAAAAATATTCTGGAAATGGTGAAGGAATAAAAACTGTCTTCTGAATGAAATCTGTATATCAATCTAGAATCTTTTCATTAATAAAGGGGAAGGGGGGTTGAATTAGGACTTCTGTTTCTTTTTTAATATAGTTTTTATGGATATTATCCAAGAATTACAAGTTTAAAATGCTGAAGCTATCACAATGATATATAGCACACAATGTACTGTTCCCCTCGTCCTAAAATACATATATATTTTTGTTTAGGAAATGTTTGCAACAGACAGAATCTTCCGTCCATCTTGGAAGAAAGACTCAAATCTGAATGGGCACTAGAGGCCACTCGCCTCCTGGAGGAGAATGACAATTTGTACAAAACCATCAAATTTTCAGGTAAATTTAGTTCTGTATGTTGCTTCACTGATTGTGAATTTGGGTGTTGTGGCAGTGTGTTAATAATGTGAAAATAATCTCAAACTGGTACTGTTGTATTGGGTCTGTGTTTGCATGACAGGAAGAGAAAGACCTTTTGAATTTTAAAAGAAGAAGAAATTTGCCTTGGAGAATTGAGAACGAACTTTCAGTAGTGACTGTTGATGTTGTGATGTTTTCTTTCTTAAAAGTGCCTCATTATTTGATTGTAATTCTCTACACAACTTAATGTTACTTCAATCAGATACAGTATAAGGACAGGTCATAGAATAGTAACTCAAATGCTCCACAATTTCCTTCTGTATGAAATAAATCCAGTTGCAGCCAGTCCAATAAGCCCTGCTCAGGAAATACAAGTTTTTGGGTTCAATCAAGACAGTAAATAGGAACCAGATTTATTGTTTTCTCTCATTCAAGAAAAAAACAATTCATCTCAATTTCCTTTCAAAATGTAAATTAGTTAAAAAAGTAATTTACAAAGTGGAAAATGAAACTCTACGTGAAAAAGAAGATCTAATTGTAAAATAAAAAGTCGAATTTAACCTTGTTGAAAGAAAAGCTCGAAAGCAGAAGAAAAAATGAGGAAGTGAATCAAAACAGCATGCGACTGTATATGCCTTCTCAAGACTTGTTTTGAGCATTTTTAAGGAAGAAAATGTTTTGACTTCTAACAATCCATTGCAAGAAATATGCAAAGAAAATCAACATTCTTGATCAATTGATTAATTATAATTTTTAATATATTGATTACTTGATATATTTCTGTATATTTTGTTTTTCTCAACATTTGTATGTATTTCATACAATTTCCATGTTTACATGTATTGATTAAATGTAAATTATATGTCATTTTGTAATTAAAAATTTAAAGTTCCTATTTCTGTACAATAATTTCTTAACAGAAACAACTGTAGACACATTGTACAGTTTCGCTAACTGTTCTGGTCTGCACCTCATCTTTGGACTCAATGCCTTGCTCAGAACAGACAGCAATAAATGGGACAGTGAAAATGCAGAGAAACTCCTGGGATACTGTGAATCCAAGCAATATAACATGTCCTGGGAACTGGGAAATGGTAGGTATTGTAGAAGAGGAACAGATATTTGCAATTTTACGTCCTGATTTCAACCACACATATAAAAAGAAAATTCATATCAATTTACACTTTAGGGATTATAAAAAATGAATTTCTTACAAATAGGTAACTTCTCTTGTGTGCTTTCTTAACCCAATTTCAGGTCAGAGCTTCAATTTTTTGTTATCTTTAATGAAAAGATATTGTTTCATAGTTTTTCTTGTATGACTGATCTCTGTATTTTCTCATATTTCTGGTTGAAATAGTACCTGACACAGATTTTGACAAATGTTTGGTGTCACTTTGTTCAGACAATAGCATTAACATTTTCAAAGAAAGCATCTTGAACTTCTTGAATTGAATTTATAAATGCTTTTTACCACCTCTTTTCTAAAAAAAAGTCAACCCTGTTTTTTTTTTGCTGTTGCTTACTACCTTTCTCAGAGCCAAACAGCTTTGAGAAGAAGGCAGGAATTCAGGTTGATGGACATCAGCTGGGCAAGGACTTCATTCATCTTCATGACATTTTGAGGAAGTCCAGGCTGTTTCATTCCTCAGGACTGTATGGGCCGGATGTAGGCCAGCCCCGAGAGCACACAAAGGATTTACTAGGAAGGTAATATTCACATTCTTCCTATTGATTCTACAATTTAAAAAAAAACTTTTGATTCTGATATATTTTCCATGATCTAAGATTGGACATCCTCTTTTTTTCATAACAAGAGAAAATACAGAAAACTAAAGAGGCATTGCATATTAAAATGGGAGCCTCCAAACGTAGTGACATGTTCCATTCTTCCCAGAGTGTTTCAGCACCCTGTATCTGCTCTCGGCATTAGCAAGTGTACAGTGAACTCCATCTTCAAGGTCAAGCGTGTAGATGTTGGGAACCATCACTTCTTTTGAGATTGCAGGGTTTTGAGGGTCTAGACTTAAAGGGCACCATGTGCAAGCAAAGGTATTCAAGTGCCAGATTGTGAAATATAAGTAAGTCGAGACAAAAAAATCTTTCCCAGTAGAAATGCTTAAATCAGTGATGGTGTGCTTGTAAAACAAAGTAGACCTGCATATAAAATGGATATCTTTAGGATGCGTTAACATCTGTTGCCCAACATAACATGTTGCATTGATACTACTTTAGTATTCATCTCCTTAATGAGTGCTTAGGTCTGGAAGTGTCATTCTGGGTTCAGATCAGATATCACCGGTTAGGGTCTTCACTGTGTAATTAGCTGTCTGGCAGTGACATATTGTTGTCTGCTGGGGTTGAGTCAGTTTCAGTCTGACTGGGATTCCTCAGCTTGCTGAGCAACAGTAATTCCAGTACAGTATGTACAATGACTTCTGTCATGTCAAGTATAGGTCATGTTTATGCAGTTTCTGAATCTACCGATCAATTCAAATCACGTCCCTTTTGAAAACTCACTAAGTAGTAGCAAAATAAGGTCAAACCTAATTTATTTTTTCTTTTGCGGACCTGCAGTTGCTGTAACAAGTAAAATTGGTTTTCTCTAGGTCTGGTGGAAGAGTCTACTTCTGATTGACTCAATTCACTGTAGAAGTATTTTCTTCAACTGTGAGATGTGTTTGTCTAGATAATCCTGTTTTGCTCAATATACAGTAACCAAACTAAAAGAACAAAAAGCAGTAATGCAGTATTGTATTTGATAAAACAGTGCCATGTTTCAATCATATAAACTGTTTGTGGCAGCCATAGCTTTTCTGTCAAACAGAAATGTATAGTATGTGAATGCAGTCCTAAAATGACAAAGAATTGTACCCTGAAATTTAATCCCAAAATTCTCGTTTCACTTTAAGGTTTTTGGAGATTGGTGGAAAAGTCATAGACTCCTGTACCTGGCACCAGTAAGCTTTTTGTTTTTACCCTATTATCTGGAATTTAACATTAAAAAATATTAAATTGAGACTTTTTTTAAGATCATGTGCATCCTTATTATAAAGAGATATAATTAAAAAAATGTATTAGGTGTGATATAGACATTGAGAAAGACAGCAAAGTATTAGTTTCATGACAAAAGTTTTAATTTGGCAGTAATGAAAAAGCCAAAAATTTATGATGTCTGAAAACAAGGAATTATAAATGATTCATTTTGTAGGATTATAGTTTCATTAAAATACAAATAAAATATTAACTACCTATGGTCAGTGCAGAGGGTTTGGGGGACCTTCATACTGTCCAGAGTCCATGATAAAAATGTTAATTTTTCATTCCAAAGAGAAGAACAGGGGGGTTGGTTTAAGTAGATGTTTTTTTTTCATTTCAGATGTTCTTAATCTTAGATCAATAATCTGGCGCATATGATTTTAACATAATAACCAATATAATTTTAAAGCTGTGTCAGAATTGTCATTTCAGAAATTGCATGGCCTTCCTTGTCATTTCAGCAGAGCCAAAACAAGGAATTATCTCAAATACTTCACTTGGCATTGAGAGTATTTTTTTACCTTTCTTTACAACCAACCAAACAACCATAGAACAATTCTTGAAAATAACCAATAATCCAAAATACTGTGAGAGGAGAATCTGACCAATTAACATCTCACATCACTGCTCCCTGGTACATCTGTTTCTGTGCTGACTGGTTATTTTTGGAAGGTGTTGACAATAGATTCTGATCAATAGGTCTTTCACATGGAGATAAAAGAAATACTCAGTCAGCAGAACTTTTTGCCTTATATGCTGTTGAATAAGCCATGCTCAGCTGTTTTAATAATAACAATATATGAGAAAATATAATTAGTGTTTTGTGTGATATTTACCTAATTTGCATACAATTATTACTGAAACATTATTGAATTAGGAAGTCCTGTACGTGGTGTGTAGCATTGTATAGCAGTGAAAACATCTTCTTCAAAAAATGTAAAACTTTAAAATTTAGAGCACTTAATTCAAAAACTAAAAGGCACATATATTTTATTTCTTACAGATTTCTTTAATTAACAGCATTTATTTTGCCAGTCTGTTACAGTCGTTCCCATATTTGAATTGGCATGTCACTCTCTTTTTGGACAAATTTGGTACTATCTAATATAGTTTCATTTTATTGTGCTTCTTTTATATGTGACATGTCAAGTCTTTGTAATAAAACACCAGTCATTCCACCTGGGCTCCTCTGTGTTTGGCTGTGGGCCAGATATGTAGAAAAAAGTGCAACTGTGTTCTAGTCACACAACATGCTAGTGGCAGTGCAATACAACCAGTTTGACAGTGTTAAAAGCTGACAGAGTACTATCATGTGGCCTCAATGTGTTACATACCTGTAGCTTGCAAGAAACAAAATCATTTTTCTGCTGCGAAATGTAGCAAGGTTTTAATGCTCTTCTGTGCTCAAGGCAGTAGTTTTTTGCCATACACACATTTTGTCACAGTGTTGCTGAAGAATGTCAGCCAATTCAGCAAATCAGCAAAAGTGCCCAGTATTAGTAATTTAAGTATTTATTGAAATGCTGCTTAGTGTACTTCACTTACCTTGCTATTAAAATTTATTTGATTAACAGATGCCCTAATTATACAGTAATGACATATGGTCCAAGTGAATATGGAAAAAAAATAGTGTTGAACTTACTAGCAAGACTGCATTGCTCTAGTAGAACAACTGAATATAACTTTTTATTTCTCAGCTATTACGTTAATGGCAGAGACGCGTCACTGGAAGATTTTCTTGATCCTGATGTACTGGACACTCTTGCTACTAAAACAGAAGAAGTCTTTCGGGTAACAAAATATTCAAATAATTACCGTTCATGATATCTGAAAGATTTCATATTGTCGAGATGACATGCTTCTCATCTCCCCTACTTCAGAAATTGACAATTATGTATGTGAGCTTTGTGATCCTTCAAAATTATGTAACATGCTGTCCCCAGTGGATTGGTCATGAAAACTAAGATAAGAGGGCACGATAGCTGTTCTCAGACTGTTTGTTTTAGTGGTCAAAATGGTTTGGAAAACCATGGTTTTAAATATGGTCGTTTGGTCATTAAATATTAAGTGTGACTAAATACACAGAGTGAGATCAGAATCCTCAAGCAATGGAAAGGTACAGAAACAGACTTCAGTAGGTTTTTTGACAGCAAACCCAAAGATTCTTTTTTTTTCAAAACACCTTGAAGATATGGGATTGGGAATTCAACCTCAACTTAAATAAAAACATGAAACACAGAGACTGATGGAGTTGTTAGGAAAAGGGGTGAAATGAAGTATGATTTTGGAAAGATTGTTGTCCCGGTAGTATTCAAAATCATCTCTACATTCTTGTGGGGATCATGCCTTTGGGTTTCATAGTAGTAATGAAAACATTTCAGCCCTCAAAACTGCAATACTGTATATCAAGAGGACTATAATGGTCTCGTGTGAGACAAGGCCAAGAGCACAAGAAGGAGCTTGTCAAGCATCTCCTGGATATTTCAGTCATTTTCTGCCCTGTAAGGAAGTGGCCTATATAGTACATCCCCTTATTTTTCCTCTGTTTGCAGTGTCTGAGAAAGTTCTTGTACATACTGTTTCTGGCAATTTTCCAAAGTAAGATGCCTCATCCTCTGGTGTTTTCATTGATCAGGATGGTGTTTGTGGTGTAAGATTGTTGCAGAGTCATCTCCTGGGAAGAAGGTCTGGCTGGGGGAGACAAGCTCAGCCTACGGAGGAGGAGCTCTGGGACTCTCTGACACTTACGCTGCTGGGTTTATGTAAGTGATCTGAAGTGATCACAGTGGGGGGTTCTTAGTGAAACATGTGGCTGCTTTTCAGTGTGTGTAGAATGGTGAGGACCATGGCTTAGCTCCTACTGGAATATAATCATTTAGTTAGTAAGTCACTCTTAACAAGTTGTTGTGTCAAGTGAATGGAAATGTACAAGTACTGTTCTATCAATATATAGCACTTTGTTAGTTTTATCAACATCAAAGATTTTTTTAGAGTTTTTAATTATAAAAACTTATACCATGACAGATTACTGAAACTGCGATTATTTAAAGAGGAACACTTCTTTGAGAATCTTTTCAAGCCCTTAATGATTTAGGTTTTTAAAGGATTGTGAATGAATTATGATTTATCAGTGCTGAACTGGGGAAACCTGTAGGCCAGTCTTTAGATGAATGCCTAAAGAGCCACAGTCACAGTTAGCTTTATCATAAAAGACCTCAAGTTCCTTCCATGTTTCCTATCAGTTAAAGTGGCTTGAACTATCCCCTATGGCACTGTTACAAGGATATACAGTAATGATTTTACAATATATCGGTGACACAGAAAAAATGTCCTATAATTTCCATGTGTTTAATAGTATTGGATCTTCCCCAAAAAAGTTGTAATGAAAATGAAACGAGCTTTAAATATTTTAAAAATTGCTTTGGAGATAGTAAAATGACAAGCCTGGACTCTGCATCTTCACTCAATATGGAAGGATTTAGTTCTACTTAAAAACAATGGACTTTAACTTAGTACTGTTAAACAGAAGAATGAAACAAATCAGTCTGTAAACAAAGACGGTAGGGAGTTCATTCAATTTTTTATACTTACAGTATGTTGAAATAGATTAAGCTTGCGTTTTGCACTCTAGGTTGCATGTGATTGTTCCCAAAAACCCTTTAGGCCTTCGGTTCCATCTAGTGGTGAAATGTAAGAGTGGCATCTTTTGCATGTCTATTTGCTACTTGGCTTACAGGGTATTGTAAACCAACTGTGACATTTCAGAAAACTGCCTTTTTTTCTCATTCTAAATGACATCTTTTACCTGCTTCGATTTGACAAATAATGCACATCTTTATCGAAAAACAGATTGTCTTAGCTTCCTTGTTGTATCAAATGTAATAATTTCCTGCGTGGAGTTAAGGTCATTAAATTTGTTTTACCAGGTGGTTAGACAAACTAGGAATGGCTGCAAAGCTTGGCATCGATGTCGTCATTAGGCAGGTGCTGGTTGGTGCTGGGTTCTACCATTTGGTAGATTCCAATTTTGACCCACTTCCTGTAAGTATCTACTTCTTTGATGTAATGGACAACATTTTAGATAAGACACCATACTGTTCACATAGGAATATTATTTTACACTTTCTGGATACATTGTTGAATACAGAATAACTGCTACAGTAGTACAGCATACTAAAGGGTATATTATTTAGTTATGTTGGTTATATTACGTGTTAAGTGTTTGGCATTTTGCATTGTACTGTATTGTAGAACCACTAAACAGTTAAGGTTCCTATTTAAACACAAATTTAAAAAAGAGCTTTTTTATTTTATATGTGTGTCTTGCACTCTATTTGAGTATATATAGTGTGCATATATTTAAAGTCATTTTAATCTTCCTTGATTGAGGCAGTTTAATTTTTTGACAATGCTGCAAATGTGGTAGGATCTACACTTAATGCCAGGACATTATACGGTGTCTAGCCATTTTCTTCTCCATCATCTGAAAGCACTCTGTCCTGACACTGCACGATAATAACCAACTACCATCTGGTAGCACCACAGCTGAATGTCATGGAGATATATTCATAGATTATGTGCTGTATGTCATTGATGAAGGTACTAAATTGACATTGCATTGGGTTTTTCCTGATGCATATTCTTTACATTTGTGTGTAATCCTGGCAGGATTTCTGGCTGTCTCTGCTGTACAAGAAGCTAGTTGGTCCCGAGGTGCTTAATACTACAGCTGTTACCAGTCAAGGATCGAGAACCAAACGACTCCGTGTGTACCTGCACTGCAGCAACAGAAAAGGGTAAAAAGTATTTGTGCTGTGGAAATGTATTTTCCAATGGCTCTTCTAGTGCCTCATCTCTGGCTTGGAAGTCCGTTGTGTTCTAGAGCTCTGCTCTAAAGCCAGTGTTGCAGATTATTTCTAATACTGTAATAGTAATCTGTCTTTTAATACATTTCATATTTTTTACTACTGCAGCACCTTGAGTTACCTATTTTGGTGGAAATATCATAAATCACAAACATATAATAAGCTATTGTGAAAACCATGTGTACTTTACAATTACAGTACCTCAGATTATGAGAGCAAATCCTGTATCATATTAAGTGATGTTAGATTAAACAAATGTGCTCAATACCTGGGCTTGCTTTGACTAATTTGAGCTACAGTAGGCATGGGAAAAGCAGAGCAAATATGGTATTTGTTTTTCAGGTCATATGCACTGCCTTTTAGATAACTGCACATATAGTTGCTGTGTAAAATACCATTATTATTATGTGCAGTTAAGCAGCAATGACGTAAAGTGAGAGGATTTAATAAATGCACTTATGTTTCTCCATTCACTGACACCTTGTTAGATGGGGGAAAGGGGTTCTCACAACTTTGTCCTTACGGTCACGAGACTTGGGCCATTTCAGCAGACTAAGCCAAGTCACACCGGTGTTCCTTACTTACTAGAGTCTGGGCTGAACTACTAAAGAATTAATTATGCCACTTGCTGGAAAAATGCTGTTTCTGCCGAGTCTGTTAAATATTATTAAATATTGGACCCCAAGGTCTTTTTTTTCCAGGGGTTGATGGAAAAAGGGTTGAAGATAATGAAATTGTACATAACCATTTATACAATGAAAGCAAGACCTTTCTAAAAACCATGCATTGACACTAAAATTGAAATAAACACCATATTTAATTTATTTCAAAACTATCAATAGGAAAAATATTTATTCCCATGTCCTTTGATGTAGTCCATTTAAGATAATGAGAATAATGCACATGAATTATTTGCTTTGCTTTTAGCCAAAATGTTGAGAAAGGAGCCGTCACCTTGTTTGCCTTGAATTTGAGTAAAAGAACAGCCAGGATCATCCTGCCTCCACAAATTTCCAACAAGACAGTGGATCTTTTCCTTCTCCAGCCCGGGGAAGGACGGATTGACTCCAGGTATCTGTACCAACTTGCCTTGTCTTATGCTGTAGGCTAATGATATACTAAAGTACAGTAAAGTAAGCCAAAGTAATTTGAACAGGGCATGAGAAATCTACAGAGAAAACAAAGCCTAGTAAGAAGCCATAAAAGTTCAGCTTTGGTACTTTGTTCCTTCAAGTGCAGGGAGAATACAGTATCTCAGTGGCTTCTAGCTCTGTCCAGAAGTGAGGGAAAAAAACAACAACATCTTCTTTTAAATCCTGTAGGAAGTAAGGTGTGTAATGTATAGGGTGTTTATGAAGTTACTCAAGCTACTCAAACACTGCACTCTGGGGCGCAGTGACATAAAAATGAGACTGAAAATGAGAATGAGACAGAATGTGTTACCATTGACAACAAAGGTGCACAGCAGAGGATATGCGTCAGTTCCATTTGACTAGCAGTTGTGTCCAAGATGACCAGCATGCATGGAAGGATGTGGTGCAACACGATGCAGCTGTTCGTAGCCCACCACCATTGCTCATGGCAAATGTGTCCCCAATCCCCAAATATGAAACGGTATGTACAGTACTAAGTTTCATCGAAGCACTGGTTGCAGTTTTCATGGTACTAAATGGACTAGCAGACACCTTGTAATTAACATAATTTTCATGCTTAATAGAAAAGGTGGCACCAAATTTTAAAATTGTCTGTTGTGTGTCTGAGGTCTGTCCTGCTGAATGGGGAGGTTCTGAAGATGGTGGATGAGAAGACATTGCCAGTTCTGAAAGGCACCCCAATCGCCGCAGGCACTCCGCTTCAGCTCCCTGGCCTGTCCTTTGCCTTTTATGTGATAAAAGATGCCCAGGTGCCTGCTTGCACATGAAGCCACGTGTGTTTGTGGTGTTATAATACTGAGCTACTGTAATGCAGGAAAGGTTTGACTATGGAATTGGAAAATTGGAAGTTAAAAGTGGTAGATTTATTCCACAGGTTGTTTACACTATCCATGTGTAATATGCACCCCGATAAGATGGATCCTTAGAGGGTATTGGATACCTGTCTGTTTACAATGAACAGCCATGTCGTTTCAGCCCACAAAAGTATCATGTACAGTATGTGGTACTATCCTTGTGCAGGCAGGGTCTTTTCCAGATAACCATGAGATTGCAAAATCTGAGATCTCTGGGCAGACAGATAGTGAGCCCATTTTTGTGCAATGGAGCCTTGCAAGATAGAAAGGAGCTCAAGAGGATCAAATAGACAAAAATGTATTAGTGTGGCTCTTCTTTCTTTTCCTGCAGGAACAAACTAAAGTGACAAAGGTGTGTGTTTAACAATAAGAACCATACTTGGATTTTTTGTTATTTATTTAAAAATGAGATGTGCTTTAATGGTCCTTAAAGCTATATTCAGTGATTAAGTTTTATCTTCAGAGAAAAAGGGACTTCATTTGATTTATACATGTGCTTTTTTTTTAGAGTGCTTGTATGGGAATTAACTAAAAGTTTTACTAAATGTTTGTATTATATCTTGTTAGCTATATTTTTCTGTACTTATATTTTATAAACTCTGCCTCAGGATGTCTTGTCTCAAAAGATAATATAGCCACACTATTCTTTACACATAGCTGATATAGTTCTCAGGGAAATGACCGTGTGAGCTCTTCTGGAACAAATGGTCTGTTCAGTTACAAGCAGAAGGGGCTGCTTGTCATGCAAGCCAGCAGTAAAGAACATATAGGTACTGTACTGGTCAGCTTTCTAAAATAACCATATATAGCCACAATGCAATCGGAGATTCATATGGGAGTGTATCTTGTATCGTTTGTTTCACTGCATAAAAGAGCACTGTAGGCATTGTCTTCTGAATCTTGCGTACAAGAGCAAGACTCCCATACTGTATGCATATGAAATAAAGAAGTCTTTCAACAGACAAACTCTCAGCTGATGCCATTTGTTTGTCACAACAGGTGCTACTCATGAAATGTGGGAAACTTTGGACCAGGTTAATTCTCATATAAAACATTGGCAGCATGTGTTTCAAATAAATGTTTATGGGCTAATTATAAAAGTTTAAATACTTTTTGTTAAACCATTTTTTTTACCAGTTACATTGTCCTTTGATAAGCATTAGTTAATCTCACTGAATACCAACAAAGATTCCAGGAAGAACCTGATGTGTTTATGTGAACTGAGTTCAAATAAGGGATAGCACCAACTATGTTCTGCATTTCATACATTATTTTTCATACATTAAACTAGAATACCATTGAAAGTTTTATGATCTGGGATGTGTGTTGACAGGGGCTGATATTTTTTTTTTTCTATGATGGCTGAAAGAACTTTACTAGCTTTTGTTGTACATTTGTAAGAATTGCAGTGTAAATGAGTATTGAGGGGATTCTGTGACTTGTCATCAAAGTCAGCCAATGGGCTGTTGCCACAGGCTTTCTCTTCCTCTGGAAGTTTGTGACATCAGACATTAGACAAGAGTGTAATCCCCTATGTAGAAACTCTCAAATGCAAAACTACCATCTTAAACATAATTCCCTCTAAAACAGAGGGGACTATGTTGTGAATTCCCCTTCATCTAATGTCTCATTGTTTCATATATTTGCACTTTGCATCTGTGAACAGATTACAATTAATGTGTGCATCTCACACTTTCATCCAAAGTGACCTATGTTTGTACCCATTTAGAGAACTGCAATCGGAAGTGAAAAGCATCACAACAGCTGTGCCTCATCCAGGATTTTGACCCACAAATTTCCAATTGCAGTATAATTCCAGAGTCCTATGCACTCCTCAACATAGCTACCCTTAAATCACCATCTCCCATGTAAAAAACATATCCTTAAGATATTGATCTGGGCATTTGTTTCAGAAGTGTAATGGAATTAACTTCAGTTTTTCCCCCAAAAAAAGCTGTATTAAAAAAAAGTGTTAATGTGGCTTGGTAAATTGACTTGATTTCAAAATTTACCAATCTTAAGAAAATATTAGGGAATCAAGATACAGTACCAAGGTGTGGCAGGCTTGGTTGTTGGTGTCTGATTGAACAAGAATCACAGCAAAGTGGATGATCCAGTAGTTTATTCACATTTTGTACAGTGTGGTTTTCAGACATGACAGGCGGCCCTGTGTTGCCTCATCATTCTTCCTTCTCCTCTCCATGTGTGATGATGTAGCACAGAGACTTGTAGTCAAGGTTCCCCGCTTGGTCAATGGGAGAGGACTGGAACATCTGATTCACCTGGATTCAACCAGAAGATATTAATGGCATTAACACAGAAAGAAAATGGACAAATGGTGCCCTGGTAGAAATAAATGAGTACCACAGATATTTATGCACAGCTCAGGGTCATTTCACTTCAAAGCTGCATGTCACAGAGTTTTATTCTACCAGGTCTCTTAAATTAAAAATTCCATTATTGAAATCTGGTCTGTGCATATTATCTAAAATTATATGTAAAGGAGGTTACGATAAAAATGGATGACGTTCCTTGAAAAATGTAAAAATAAACAAAATGCAATTTTTGCCTCGCAACCTTGAAAGAGCAGGTAATATTCTTATAAACAGAGAGTCCACATACCTCTTCTGCCGTAAACTTGTCTGCCTGTGTCATAAGAACACGCTGTAATCTGCCAGGAAAAATAGAAAATAATATTGTCATATTGTGGAAAATATAATAAAAATTGAACAATTTAAATGAGGAGAGTGTGCAAAATGTAAAATATTACTAGTAGTTCACATTATAACAACAAAATAACTTTTGTACCCTAAACATTTCTACATTAACCAGACGCCTGCAAATGGCTTCAAAATATTTTTCAGTCCTAAGGGAATAGTTTTGGCGAATTAAAATGCCAAAATACAGTGGAATTTGTTTGTGTTTGAATTGTGCTTCAATTCCCATGGAGAAAATATCTGCATCAGGCTGCAGGTCACACATAAAGCCAAGCAACCAGCACATGTTTGTGCCTTCTCTCTATTGTGCTTTGTACTGTGCTGCACATACTGTACTGTATTATGTCTTAATGTTTTCATGGCTTCCCATTTTGTATTTCCCTGTTTTCTCAATAAGAGAATTATATGGAGTATAAGGTTTGTGTGCACATCACTCTTGGATCTCCAGATTCTATTGTGGTATTGAGTATTCTTTTATGTCTGACTGAGCATCTAGGTCTATGATGATATAGACAGACATACTCGTCTTTGTGTACGTGTCCCTTAGCATCAGGATCAAACATCTTGAATGCGTTTAGAATGGTTTCCTCAGGGTCCGTACCTGTATTAAAAAAAAAACAGATGTTTTTTTACTACCAGGCAAACGTTTTTTATTTTGTTAAAAATTTTGGATTTATGTATATTAATTCAACAAATATTCCAGACTCTAGTATCATAAGGTTGATAACAAACAGCTGGATAACCACTGTAGAGTTATTCACTATTAGTACAATTCCTTGATAAGAGTACTGTATACAAACTAAAAGACTACAAGAACTCTATGCTTCTAATTTAAGGTGGTTTCTGCTGAAATGGAATTTTGAAAAATGCATCTTAAGTCCATTGCAGGTGAATTAAAATATTTTATTAAGGTGTTTTAGATACCATACTTCCTAATGGAATGAGCATCACTTTCATAATATAATCATAGAATCTAATACAGTAGTGCTATACTGTACTTCCTTAATCAGTAATGAGTTTTTCATGAAAAAATAAAATGTTGACTGTTTTATCACCATGTTTCCATGAACCCAGGTGAATTTATTGAGACTTTTGTAGTTATTCCACTCATGGTGATGTAAAAATTAGAAAACATCTTGTCTTCTGGTTTTTGGTCCAACCTTAGTTGTTAATTAAGTAATTTTATTTTCTTAATTAGTCATTTAAAGGATTTTTCTTAAGGTCTATTACAGTTAATGTCTGCTAAAATGCATTTCTGTTCAAGTAAACCTGCCTATAACACAACGTCAATCATGGTTAGATGTACTGTATTAACAATAATGCTCTGAATTAAATAATTAGACCACCTATATTACTGGAAGTAACTAAAACTCAGGAATTAGTCTGACACCTCTGCCTTGTACGCATATCAGCTCAAATGTAGTATGAAAAGCTAACAGTACAAATATGTGCAGTTACCCTGACAACCATTATGCATCTCTGGTAGATGAGAGATGAGATGTCACTACAGTAATTCAGCACTTTTCTATAGGTAACTTAGGTTAATTACACACATGAAAATTTTAACTGAGCAATGGGTGATGTACAGTATTGCGACTATGAAATGGCACAAAGTACAGTACTACTTTTAAAGAGCAGATCTAATTATAATACCAACTTGCACTAATCATGGCTCTTGCTAGTGTTTTGAAGAACAGCAAAATTGGCAGTAGAGTCAGTGCTGTAAGGTTAGAAAAAAACTTTTGATCAGAATTTGGAAACATCTTTATATTGACAACTTTGGTGTTGTCAATACAACTTCATGAGAGTAGCCTCCCCTTCCACATTACTGAAGTTCATTCCACCATGTAGGCATCTTCAGTATTCCTGTCTGAATATTCCTTTCTTGATATCAGTAAGCTGCTAAGATCTACAAAACCCAGTTGCATTTGAAGGCAGACCAACACAAGAAATGTAAAATATTCAGATTTTTCAGGACGATGAGACATCAGGTTAGATTCCATCTGTTAACATTTTTATTCCAGCAAGCAAAAATATTTTACATAATTTGTGTAAAGCACAGAACCATGGGAATGGCTATACGTTTCACATCAGGAGCCTGAAGTTCTAAGTATATCACAACAAAAGTGTCACAGTTTAAATCCTGCTGTACTCTGATTTATTAAAATCAGGAACAGTGTTGCAGTATGATCCCATACCCAAACTGTCTTGTATTAAAAGCTATGGCACAAGACAAAATATAAAAAGCATATATGCTATATTGTATTGTCTGCAGATTTGTTTAACATTTCAATGAAGAGGACCTAAACAATGAGAAATTCCTTTAACATCAAGAGCAGTTAACTATTTGAATACACAATAATATTACCACACGGCTTTCTGGTGCATCCCATGATAGGGGTAATTTATACTTGTGTGTATTTAATAACTTGCCAGAGAATAATAAAAGAATTAAATAAAAGGAAAAGTAACATCTAAATTTCAAAACCACGATTATCAAACAACATAGAGCACCTCATCAGAGGACTTAACGGGTGTCTCTTACCATGTAGCTTCTCTCCAAAGAGATTTAGGAACATTGTGAAGTTTATCGGCCCAGTTGCTTCCTTCAGCATCGCTTCCAGTTCATCGTCTTTCACGTTCATTTTACCTGTGACACAGACAGGCAGCCTGTTAACACCACAAGATCAAAGATAAAAGCAAAACAAAGCCTGTTGCAAAGCAACAATATGAGCTACATATCCTTTCAGGCTAAATTTCTTAAAGCTGTATTTAATTATTTATTATAAATAAATAATTATTAATTAAAAGAACATTTATTGGGTTGATTTATTTTGTTGTTGTTTTTTCAGGAGCTGAAGGGCATAATGTGGTAGGTGAGCCTATGGACTCATGACTCATGATGGGTAGTTCAGACGCTGCTGTTATACAGTAGCTTGAGGAAGGTATTTTACCCCAGTTGCTCCAGTCCACCCAGCTGTATATATGGGGATTATCATTGATTTGAGGTCATCCCTGTGATGGACTGGTGTTACATACCCTCTAGTCTGCTTGACACAGAAGAAACCAGAATGAGCTCTGGCCCAGCGTAGCTCTCTGGCATGACCTTTACCTTTACTATTTCAGGAGCTAAAGAGGGTAGATCCAGTATACTGTATCTGTGCATATGCTATGTATATACTGTACAGAGGTACGCTAAAAGAGTAGGCAAGTCTTGATGGGGTTCAGAAGCTTATGCTTGAGAAATAAGCATATTATCTCATCGCCAGAAGCTCAAGACCTCCCAACAAAGTGGAAGCATGTTCACTCTCTCATGTTTAGAAGGCATGCAAAATATAGATTTTGTTTTTGGTATTGAAATATAGCCAATATATACAGTTTATGGCAGATAAGTTTTTAGCCATATGTTCCATAGCCATAACATGTGCACTATGGAACATAATTATGGAACATAAGCATTGTGAATTAAAGTGATTTTTATGATTACAGCTACAAGGAAAATCAAAGTAGTCTCATACATTCATGGTGTTACGTAGTCTAAAGAGAACATTTCTTTTGATGATTGTGGGAACAGGGAAACTAAATGTGTGGGACCAGTCTTACAAAAGGTTACAAACAATTTCACAGTAAAGCGCAACAGTGTCATTCTAGTTTTATGTTGGCTTTTCTATTTTGTGTAGTGTTTTGTGTCACCCAAATTAAACCTCTTCATAAAAGGTGATCTCTTATGCCTCGGACCATGATAAAGACTTAAACACTATACTGCGCATGAAGGTAGGAACCCTGATTTCTTTTCATGATGATAAGGTGGAAATACGGAATTTATTTATAACCCTGAATCTAACTTAACAGCTGATACTCAAAAAGTCTAATACAGCATAAAAGAAAAAGGCTTCATTGTCAAGTATAATTGAATTGGGATTTTGTTATGATTGCACAAAGCATAAAGGAAGATAATAAAGGGTTTACCCAATTTAAAGTACTGTGCTTTAGAATGTACTGCAGCATTTGAATGTAGCCTTTTGGAATGGAATTGAAAATATAGGTAATATAGGTAAATAGGTGATAGCCTAAGCTACATATAAATTGAATGTATCTTTCTAAAGTATTTAATACTATAGCCATGTTTAATAGTCATATCAATAAAATCTAATGTATTATTTCTGTAAATTACAAACCTAGAGAGGCATATGTATCCTTCAGGTCTTCCTTATCAATGAACCCATCTCTGTTCTGGTCAATCAATGTGAAAGCCTATCAGTATAAAACAAAACAAACAATCAATATTGTCACTTGATAGTTCAGTCTTCCAAAAGGGGTAAAACTGATATCTGTTACAGATTGATATGAAGTTACTATGACATAATATCACATAATACTAAGGTGGACCTTGCTTTCCATGTGCTTACCTCCTTGAACTCCTGTATCTGTGTCTGCTCAAACATGGAGAAGACATTGGAGGATGCCCTCTGGGCACGTTTGGCACCTCCTTCCTTCTTCTTGGTCTTCCTGCTAGCCTGTGAGAGCAAGAAACTAATAATGAAAGTTGCATATTCAAGCAAAACAAGTCCTGCACACTGAATGTGTTCTTATACTACCTCATCCTCAATGGAGGAACTATTGGAGGAGTACATAATCTCCTAGCCCCAAAGGGGCTATTGATATTTTCTATTATTATATTGTGTATCGGATAACAGATTCCTAAGTATTAATTTACCAGTGCATCAGTGCTTAGAGAAATTTCTAACCACACCTTTCAGCTTTTAAAGTGTTACACACCATGCTGCGGTGTGATTACAAATATAATGCCCCAGTCTCGGATATCATTAATAATCCCTCAGTCAAAATGCCACATGCTGAAACACAGGGTAAAAATATCCCAGAGGTACAATTTATGAGTAATAAATAATTAGTGTAGATTGTCCCTTTGTTTTGATTTCATGGTCTATCAGCTCTGTCTAAACGGATGTAAGACATACTATAGGGAATCTTTTAAGGAGCCGTACAGTAGGTAAGGAAGCTATGGCTGACTGCCCTCAGCATTGCTATTTATCTAAAATGATTGGTATGTATCATGAACAGATGAGTATACAGTATGAGGAGAAGAGTATTCAATGAAATAATTACAGACAGAAATATTAACATTATTTTTGTCCTATCACTGCTAAGCTTAATTCTAATGCTTTTGGTATTTTTTTTAAGCTACGTTAAAAGGTATATCTTCAATAGACAAAAAAAGTTTTTGGATCAACTTACTTTTTACTGTATTGTATCTCCTTTTCACAAATTTGATTTCCCAAAAATGTATTTTGATTTTTTTTACGTTGAATGAATATTGAATTGTTACCCTCTTTCTTTGCAGCTAAGGTCTTTAATAAAGAAATACAGCTTATATCAAAATTCAACTTGCATTTCACATTTTGTGAACAAGTTGTATTTTGTCATTTTCTTTGTGAAGCATTTCTAATATGAGTCACAACCAGAAAGCCTCAGAAGGTCTTCAGAATAAGAAATACTGGTTAATCATCTTCCCATTTTCAAAGACACACAATGATATTCAGTTAAACAATTTGTCTTATGCTCTCCCTTATCCAGTACACTGGATTCCATTTGCAGTTGCTGTTCAAATTATGCTTAAAACCGCAGAAGAGTTTTGTATTCACATACTGTATACAACTCTTTAATTATTGTCAGGAACAGTATAAAACATTATAAAAAAATCTTTTAGCTGAATCCTGCTTGCTCCTGATAACTTCATGTTAGCGGTTAACTGCAGTAATGCATTACCACTAGTCAAATTAAATCTACACCATGTTCATCTTCTTTTCCCTCTTTCGAATAAAAGCATTAAAAACAAATTCAAGGATTAAAATCCTTCTGATTTTGGAAAATCTGTTGACAATCCTCTTGTGATAAAACTCACCATGTTTGCCTGGTACTGATGCTGCCTTGCCCAAGAATGTGCCTGGCTTTTCTGGAAGCAAAGGGCTTTTATATGACAGCTGTCTCTAATGGGGAGACTGTCTGAGAAGATGGCTGGCATGGTTCGAGTCCCTGTGGGGATCATCCTGATCCGTGTGAGACCCCCAGCCCGGGCAAAATACTCCATACATGGGCAAGTCGTTAAGCAAAGCCCAGGCTCTCCAGAGGCCGGACAACTGCTACTTATAATCAAAACCTTTTAAAGTATTTACACATCACTGCCGACGGCTGCAGAAAGATGTGCTAAATTTACAGAAGACCAAGTTTCTGATTTAATTACTGCAGGAGGCTTTAGCAGTATCATTTTTGATAGTAGTATCAAGTCAAACTTGTCCTGATTGTTTGAAAAAGCTAAAGCAGACCCTGCATGATGGCAAAACATAATTAAAACAGGGACGTTTTATGAGTTTCAGAGAGATGACACTCCCATGATGTAAAATGACTTTTTACATCATGGTGTAAACATATCCAAATGTAGGACATGTACTGTGAGAAACCCTATAAAAGTTAAGTAAAAACATGGCTTAAGACTAATAGGAAAATGTGAAAATACCCTGCAACTTCACCATTTTAAGCCCTGACAAGTGTACATCTGTCAGGGAAACATTTGCATGAAAAGGGTTTAGCTGATCCGCCAAACCTAATACTTGGCAGCCTGGCGTCAAACAATAATCAGGAGAGAGGTATCCAACTGACTTAATATTTGTACATCTTCCATGTGTGACAGTTACAGGTTAATAGTTAATAGGTTTAATGTATACAGTAGTAGTATACTGTAGCACAATATGGTGACCCGACACACAGCAGTACTGTGTTGCACTACAATAAAGCAAGGAAATGGTCATACACGCCTCATTCACAGGACCCGTAAATCGATATAATTCCACTACACACTCAAGGTTGAATGAAAGCTTATAGTAAAACACGTGCCCTGTGACTTTTCAAGGTTGAATTTTTTCTTCTGTATTGCCAACAAAGAAAATACTATATTGCCTTATGTGTTCTATAACATATCACATTGGGATTACTTCCAAAACTGGGTGATAATCTTTAATAATAACACCACACTGCCTGTGAGATATTTCTACTTAAAAAGCACGCAGGAGGTTAGACTGTAAAATAATATTTGAACTACAATGCTTAAACTCTTCCTAAGTAGCAACGTTCCTAACGTTTTCTTTCTAAATTGCCAAAAGCAGGCCAAACTGAACAGGTCTTGGCAACATGATGAAATAAAACACCAATCACAATTCCCTCCTGCAAAGTGCTTTCTGGATTTGAAGCAGCAATCTTAAACTTCAGTCGCAAGCAGCTGTTAAAGACGTTCGTAGTTTTGTAGGTGTTTTTGTTACGGAAATGGACTCGATAATCCGAATAATAATTCGAAATGGATTCGATGCTCCAGTGCGATGACGGAATTTATCGATCGTACTTGTATTCATGTTAAAACTGAAGCCAATTTCAATATAATTCCCATGGTATACCTGTTGAGCTATTAAAATCGACAGTATTACAAACATTTAACAACGCTAAAGATTTACCTGGAAGAAATTAAAAAGTGTAGCTCATTCAACTGATAAAAATGGGACGATAGTTAAAAATGGCACGACCTTGATAGTAACCATACGAAGAAAATGTCGCCTATACATTAGATCAATTTTGTCCGGTAATTCGGGTTACAGCTGTGAAATACAATACACTCATAATTATTTTACAGTGGGGAATTTAATTATTTAAAAATCTCTCCGAAAATTAAGAATGTTACATATAGAAAATTAAGGCACGTATGAAATGGGAACAAGATCAAAGATAAATCAGGATATTACTAGTCGGTTTTACCTATTTTGCTTTATTTTGACAGAAGCTTAAATTTCATTTCGGACTTTCAATATAGAGGATTATATGAAGTAATACCAGAATAACAATACACGTAGTAGTGTTTAATACATGAAAGGCTACTGGCACCAGTATCCGTGTCGTGTAGTATTTTTACTCACAAATTAATTCAGAGCAGCTACTTAATATCGTCAAATAAAATCATTTAAATAAAGGGTCAATGCTTTTTTATGCAGTTGGGTAGGCCTATTTGGAGTTCTGAATGTGAAATCCAAGAAAAACATGTAGCACTTGTAATATTAAATACGCGTTTTGTGTAACTACTGTATATAAGATTATTTTCTGGACGAGTATACTTGAAATCATTTTCTTAGTTAAGGTGGCGTGTGGTTCATTCTTTCACCGAAGTCCTCTGTCTACATATGAAAACACGGTAAAATATTTCTCGGCTGCAACCCTTTACGTTTGTTACTGAACATGCAGACGCATGCATTCACAGACTACGGGTTTTCCGTTCTTTGTTGCGGAGATACGTGGTGGGGCGGTGCTTAAGAAAGGGAAAAGTACGTCTATAAGTCTAATTTTTTAGGGGAGAATCGATCGAAATTAGTCTAAGTTTTAGTGGTGTTTTGAATTTTAAATGTTCAAGGATTTCGATTTTTTTCAGTGTCTCAGTTATATACACGGTGAAGCCAGTAGTAGTGATTCAGTTGCTCGTGTTTAGTTTTTAAAAGTGCAAAATAAGTGATAAGATGGATCTCAATGCTAAAAAAAGAACACCCAACTTTTCCAGCACCGAACTTGAAGTATTGATCACAGAAATAATAAACAATTACAGTAAACTGTTTGGAGAAGCTACAGCCTGTACATCCAGGAGACAACGATCTTCATTCTGGATCAAAACAACACAAAAGGTCAACTCAATATCCCAAACCAAGAGGAGCTGCAAGCAGGTCAAGCACAAATGGGATGATTTGAGAAGACTGCTGGTAAAACGGCTGCGTTTAAAAGGACGCAACGCGGGTTCTGATGGCATTTTAAAAGAGCTGCACAAAACCAGAGACGACAATAGGAAAAGGAACACATTTATTGAAAGAGGGATACACAGAGATAAACAAGTTTCTTCGGGAGATCTAGATTTTTCAGACGGCGCTCCACATTTCGATATTGAATGGGGTAAGTGGAAAAGGAAACCAGTTTAAACTCAACAGGAAATCGAAACAAGTCGAAAACATCCCTAAAACCATCGCTTTTGCTGCTGAAGCATTGCATGTTACCTATGCGTCCAGGTACCTAGCATTACATTTTAGGTACCTGGACGCATAAATATATAGATCCCACCGTAAAATAGGGGTTTTGTTTACGATCCGAAATTCAAGCTCCTGGACGCTAAAACGTGGGTTGCCCGCGCTTATCGGATACACTGTTGCAGTTGTACCTTAGAGCAAATTGCAGTATAAACAATGTATTTTTTCGCATATTTATAAATAATCTAATAATAACCTATAAATTGTAAATACGCAAGGTTGTTAGTTATTGTATGCGTGATACAAATTCCTTCTCAAAGTTATTTTAAGTTCACGATAGTTACATTGGTTTCCTTCTAACCTACGCTACATTGTATTGTTTGTTTTATTGTTTAAACTACCGAGTTTGTTTTGTGCTAATTTCTTAAACACAGAGTGAAAGACAGTAATACAGAGTCCGAATAGTGCTAAATGCCATTTACGGGTAATGCTTTAGCAAAAAATTTACTGTAGTCAGACCGGTTTCAGATAAACACATTTGACAAATTGTTGACCACACTTTATCATAAAAATAATTGAAATTAGGTGAATTTTAGTAGATATAACAGTTAATCAAGGAAATCGCATTTTATATATCAAATACGGTAATTGAGATTATGGAGATTAAGTTTAGGTATCATGCAAATTCCAGAATTCTCGACATTCTGAAGTCTGTGTAATATCTTAGAAAATACCATAGTAGATAATGTGTAGCGGTGGCTGTTTCGTGATGAGATAAAGGCATGTTTTGATATCTTCTTCTAACTGTCTTCTCATTCCTTAAAGCCTCTGTCCCCTCAGGCTGTTACCCCTATTCCTTAAAGCAGCCTTCATAATATCTCCTTTAAAAAAACTCTCTTAAGAACTAGATACCCATCTCTCTTCTCCCCTTTCTCTCTATAGCGGGCAGCCCAACAGGCAAAGATGCTCTTTTCTCAGTTAGTGATGCACTTCAATCAGCTTGTGCTGCTTCACTTTCATCTGCCGTAATCCTCCTTGACCGCTCTGCTGCTCCAGACACTGTGGACACGCTGTCTTGGGAATCTCTGGCACTGCTGACACCTGCTATGATTGTGCGTCTCCTGGAGTGCCTCGCTCTCTGCACCTCACTCACTCTCCACTGGTGTCCCCTAAGGCACTGTGCTGGATCCCAAGCTGTTCTGTCTTTACATGCACTCTTTAGGACCTCTGATCTCCTGCTGTGGCTTTTCCTTCCTAACCTATGCTGATGGTGCTCTGATGTTTTTCTGTTGCATCTTTTGATAATTTTGTCTCCTCTTGTATTAATGCCTGTCTCTGAGCCATTTTCTCCTGTATGCACTCCCCATTATCTCAAACTGAACCTTGCTCATTATGACCTCCTCTTCTTCCCTTCTGTCCACATTCTGGACTCAGTCTTCTGGAAACCCAGAAAAAAGTCGGGAAAGGCCTGGTATTAACGTCATAGTTCCAGATCAGCCTTTGTAAAATCAATGTTGATGTAAGGCAGAGCACAAATTGCTTAAACTTACCTTTATTCTCCAGAGATTAGAATTTGAGAAGGTCAGTGCTTTGGGGAAAAGCCATCAGTGAAGTCTCTTTTCAGGACCTTCTCTACAAGTCTGTTTAGAAAACAGTGATTCATACTGTAGGTCCAGGCACTTGGTATAATCATCATCACTTCACTTTCAATAACTACTCATCCAATTCAGGATCATGTTGGTCCAGAACCTATCCTTATTGGGCACAAGATTGGATATCCAGGGAATTCTCAACCTATCTATCATACCCTGGATAGGACGTCATTCCACCAAAGAGCATACACAGGCAAGAACACCAATTAACCTACCAGCATGTCTCCAGACTATGGGAGGAAACCCACCCGAATACAAGGAGAACACACAAACTCCATACAGATAGCACCCCAGGAATTGATCCCAGGGTTCTGGCACTGAGGTAGCAGTACTAGCCACTGTGCTACCATGCTGCCCACTTGGTGTAATGTATGTTGAATGTACATAAAGCTTACAAAATGCACAAGTTAACTTTAATTTTACGTCGATAGCATTAATGCAATGAAAATAAAAGGTTAAATTTCACAGTGATCTAAATGTTTGCTTTAAAAAGTGCTTTAAATGATCAAATGTGTTTTCGATTTATAGTTGACTAAGGAGATTATGTAAAGCTCAGGTGAAACCTGAATTTCATTTTCCAAAATTGAAGGAAATCTGTTTTGGGAATGGATGGGAATTCTAGGTAACTGGTTCAGCTTATGTCAAACTCCCTTGATGTGTTCAAAATGTTATTCCAAAACAAGTTCACTTTTTTTTCTTATTTACAAACTTGTTTTAGTGTACATTGCAATAAATATCACATATTTAATACAGAATTACTTCCATGGTTTGTAGAAGTAAGAGAAAAGTAATTGAATTGTAATTGAAAAGTCTTTTAATAAATTCTTCATAAAAATAATTATTCATGAATCATTTAACCTTTGTAAAACACATTTAATCTGACTTTCAGTCTTATTTTCTCCTCATCCAGAGAATGACACTGAAGAAAATGAATCTGAAGCAGAAGGAACTGGGCAGGAAGGTTCCCATAAAGTAAAAGGTAAATGTATTCTTTCTGAGCAGGGAGAATGGCCTGGGATGAGAATACAATACTCATTTGTTCAAAAGCTAACACCTCACCAGGACAATTTCCATTTTTCTAAAGGCTAAAAAAGTAATAACTGAGTGACAGGTAAAACCTAGAAAGAAAAATAAATTATGTTAATAACAAAAAATAAAATCCTGTAACATAAATTCATTAGAAGTTTACTAGCTAGTGAAAGCTTTAATTAAATTTAGTTAAAACAAACTGCATCTGCTTATTAGATCATGTGATTGAATAACTCAAAGCCCAAGCATAGGTAATGCTGCTTGCAGTATGACTCCCACATTTTACACTGAAAAACACCAAATGCTACAGAACAGGGATAGCTGTTTCTGTGTGTAAAATCTGTAATCTTTCAGTGCTTTGCATATAAAAAAGTTTCTATACTGTACTTTCCATGGCATCATTTTGCAAGAGCAAAGATTGTAACCTTGGTGACATGAAATAACCCAATTTGGATAATGAGATCTTGGCATTTATGTAAATTGTTTCCTCCCTCTTTTGAGTTTTTATCAGTGCTTTTGATGAACTAGAATAGGACATGTACAGATTTCTCAGATGCTTTTGACTGTGTTTCATTGTCTGGAGAACTGCTGCAAGACCCTTTAGGTTCATACCATTTAACGAAGAGGGCTTTACTTAATAATCAATTTCTTCCATTCAGTCAATCACCTCAGTAGATGAATAATTTTACTCCCTTCATTTTGTAATGTAGTTTGACATATTAGCACATTTGTTATAAACATTATTCTATTAAACATAAACCTCATGTACAGTAATAGTATGTCAGCTGATTCCACTCATCCAGTGATAACTGAACTTCCTATTAGCTTGTCTTTTAAAGTTGGATATAAAGGTTTGGAGTTGTCAAACCTGATAAATCGTAATGCATTTGTTACCTAATTTCTTTGAGTGTACACCCCCGGAACACCTGTTTTTATTTATCACAATGCACATTGCCCCAGTATAGAAAAATCCACTTCTGAGAAATATAAATATAATAATTTTATAAATATAAAAAAATGCTCTGGACAACCCTCATTTTTGTTATTATTTGAGCTGAGGAGTATGGCCTTGAGCTTCTGCCTTCACCAGCTCAGAACTGCAGTGTTACCCAGCCCTCTCATTCATCAAACTTAAAAGGTTTAATTATTTCTATTCACTGGGGTATTTATTATCTGTAAATGTGCTTTTTCTCTCCAGGAAATAAAGGACTTCCCACTGGTGAGCCAAAAACTGCAGATGAAACCCTGCCAGGACGAGTAGTGATAGTTCACCATCAGGGGATTCCTTCCCTTGTGGAGGAGATCAGAATCTTAGAAGCCCCTCAGATTGTGGGACCTCCTATCCCATCAGTCGCCTGCTCTTTTTCTCAAGCTCCAAGTGCTGAACGCGAACAGGAGCAGCAGCAGCAGCAGCTAGTGGCAAGGGGGGTTGGAACTGATGTTGTCCAGATTAAGAAAGAGCCACATCCTGAGTTCCTCTATACCTCTCAAACCAAGGAGACAGCCTTTAAGATTCCAAGCCTTGGTGACCAGGGTAGCAATACTTCAATAATTGCACTTGGCCACCAGGTGGCACTGCTGGCTCATCAGATAGGAAAGCTGACTGACCAAGTGAGTCAGCTGAATCAAATGCTTGCTCAAAAGAGCAGCTGTGAGCATTTTCAGATGGAGCAGGTAGCAGTGAATCACAACATTTCAGTGACACTTAGTCTCCTGGCTAAGGCTCTTGCTTCTAAAGACTTGTCCATTCCCACAGCTGTTGCTGACTGCAGCACACAGAGTGATCATCCCCTTCATCCTCCCGACCAAGCACATGGAGAAAGATGAAGATCCATTACCCAGTGTATTGGACTGACATCATACAGTACATTGCCAAATAAAGTCACAGGCAAGGGAGTTGAAGAGATTAGAAAGAGTATGTATTGGTGTAAAATCAGTTTTTTTTAAAAGACATGTTCTTTCCCTTTTACCTTACAAAAATCATAAATCTATTTCTTTGAGTGTCATTTAAATTTGGGGGATATTCTCAATATGTAAAAACTTAAGTTCCTAAAAACATTAGAACCTACTAAACAGTTTTATAGTGAAAATGGTGACTTCATAGAAAGTACGGGTATGTTCTTTCAGCTGAGATACCCTACCACACTTCACAAAGGTTTTATTTGAGCAATATTGACATCTGGACGAAAAATATTAAAAATATTCTTTGACCTTTTTCCTCTTCTTTCTGAACTCTGCACAGGATGAAAGCACTGATGTGATGTTATGTGAAAAAAATGTGATGTGAAATTTGAACTCTGCCCTTCCCATCATATACTGCAAACTATGGTGTCCCAACAAGGCCAAACAGCTCTCAATCCATATTTGGACCATGATCACAGGAGTCCTGTTAAGTTGTATTGTGTACACTCAATGTTAGTCCTTAAAGGTTAATTTATATTGAAAGTTAATCTGATATCTTAGTATTTTAAATCACTAGTTAATACCTGAAACAAAATGCAAAACCAGTCCTTACAGCTCTCCCCCAGAACAAATGGTACAGTACCTTATTAATGGTTACATAAAAGTACCTTAAAACTAAAGAATTAAAGAATTTCTTTATGAACTAAAAAAAGGCATGCTTAGTCTTACATTTTTCATTAAACAGACATGCAGGGTCTCACTTATCTGATGTAATCTAACTCTTATACCTTTACTCCTTAAATTTTGAAAGTTAAATGTTTTGCGCCTTAAATGTTACAACTTGACTTTATACTGTCACCCCTTCTCAGAAAACACAAGATCGGAATGGGGAATTGGAACAGAAAATGTTGAGAGGAGGCCCCTTCTCCTCTGGATAAATATGGTATTGAATAAGTTGTAAAAAGCAGTGGGGCTTTTCCTGAGGTGAGGCAGGTGGCAGTTCTGAAGGGAACCTCAAATATTCCTTGTCAGTTATCAATGTAAATGGAGACCCCCTGATGAAGACCTAATTACAAGATTACGTTGCCTGCTTTATTGCATGGAATTTCTATGGGCCGTTTTCAGGGCAGCTCCAGACAGAGACTGTCATTGAATCTGAAGTAATACGTGAGTAAGATCAATGTTTTTTAATTCCTCCAATAAGGGAAAAAGTACTGTTGCTTTAAAATGCATATGCCCAATGGATGCAAATTTTGGTCCGGTGTGATACCTGTGTATGCTGGCTTTCATTTCAAGTGAACTGTTAATCACTAGTGCTAATTGATGCCATTAATTAATCGGCTTGCTTGTTTAGACTTTTGTTGAGTGGTTTCTATACTCAGTTCTTAGTTGGGAAAAAAAACAACTTCAGGTATATCATTCCAATTTGCAATGTACAGAACCTAATGCAGTCTCTCTTTATTAAGAGTTTGCTGCCTTATTTCGGTCTAAGTGATTGGAGGTGATTGGTTTCTAATCAAAAAACACAGGGGGGAATGACATTTGTATTGTACCAAACACTCCCACAATGATTTTATGACTTCATTCCAGCTGGTTACATTTCAGTTAACACGTCTGAGAGAAGATCAGAAACTGACTAAACTGAAATAAAATATGCATCAAATAAAAAAGTGAAACCACATGTGAATAGGGTAAGAAGATTTATTGAACAACTGTGATTTAGAAACTTTTTAGCTCCAGTCAGACAATCCAGCTCACTGATTAGCTTCTGTTTCTGTTCAAGGACCAGCTAGGAGTCATTACCAAGTAAGAGTACTAAATGTGACTATTTAATACTCCTATTTAGAAAAATCAACAAACCAACAGACCTGTGACCAGAAAGTAGGTGCTGGGCAATTCCAAAATGTGTAAAAATGGCAGACTTTTTCTTATCCCAATCATTGACCCATGAAATGGCCTTATCTAAAAATTATAGCAAATTATTTAAGTGCTTGGTCATGTTCATTTTTCTACATTTAAAAAATCTCTGCTGGTACTCTTCAAGAAGACGTTTTAAAACGTTTTAACACATTTTGCTTGCTTGTTTTCCGATTGCTGAATTTTTTTTTTAAGATCAGAATTTTTTCTGGTTTACTCTTATTTAAACTATTTTCCTTGGAAGCAATACAATCATCTCATTGGCTGACTCTCAGCAGGAAAAACACAAATTCATAGAATGCATTGTATAATACAGCAAGGAATAAGTGAACATTTTTCCTAACTTTCCAAACTCTGTGATAGTGATGTATATGTATTACTACTCTGTAATTACCAGTTCATATGGGACTAACTCTCCCAAAACAAGGAATCATTCTGCACAGCAAGACTAGAAGGACTGACACTCTGTGTGCAATAACCATCTTAATGTACTATACAGACACCTACTGTAGTTCTGTTCGGTAAACAGAAATCAATGAACTTGCTTTTGGTGTCTCTAGGAGGGGACAAAAAAGCGTGTTAAGTTCTCCATACATTCTGTATGGAGTTTTGTATAATGCTGTGAAGAATACTGGTTATTAATCACATTTGGTGGCATTTCATTAAATTTTTCATGGTTACAAATTCACTGCCCCAAATCATTATTCAATACAGTAGCTTGTTGAAATCTAAAACATTTTGGATATCTGTAAATACTACTCAGTCCCACAGGGTGAGCTAAGTTTTTGTTATTTATGTTGAGTTGCATCTTTAGGTAAAGAATCTGACCAGATTATTAAGTAGAAAAAATGTCATCTTTATCTTGACTATGTAGCTCAACATTATTATATGATAGTGTCACTTAACAGTGTGTAGATCATGTGCCATGCAGTGTTTAGAAGAGAGACTTTGAGTAAACGTGGCCACTATAAAAGACCTGGAAATGCAAATAATGTCACAGCTGCTAAACCAGCCTTCAGTCCGAATAAAATAAAGTTGGTTTTAGGTCAGCCTATAGATTGCAAATTCCAGGCATCATTATCAGTAATTCTTGACTTCTTGAATAGGTCCAACACCTATTTATATATAAAGTATCTGACATGTATATAGACTTTATACAAACCAACCTAGTTAAAACAGTGGGAGTATTATTTGATTAATCTTTGGTCCATAGACAAGTTTCCTAGAAGAATGAATAATGTGAATAGCACACATTGTAGTATTTTCAATACTGCATGTGTTGTCCTTGTCCTCCAGGCAAGATGTGTATTCCATTGCTTCAGCCCACAATCTGCAGTTTGAAGAGGATGCGTGCAGCAGTAGTGAATCAGTGAATGCACCATGAGGGAAACAGGAGAGAGAGATAACAAAGTGATCACATATACCAGATAGGCTACATCTTCTGTTCTGGGGAGCCCCATCTAAAATAACCCATTTATAACGATTGGGGAGACTTTGTGATCAATTAATCAAGTAATTTGTTCTACTTTAGAAACTGGTGATTTAGCAGTTACCTATGAAACCCCTGGACTGTGGTAACACAGCAGCAGGACATATAAACTCACAAATGCACAACATATTTTAGTCATTTCTCAGTATTAGTCTAAATCAGGGGTTTCCTACCTTGGTCTTGTCTGTTAGGATTGTCGTCAACAGAAGTAGGTAAAAGAGTTAGAATAAACCTATTGTTCCTTTGTCGACAGCAGAGTCTGTTAAACACCAGAGACCAAGGTTTATTAGCATTTTCTAATTTGTTAGCTATACCATGTGCATATGATGAAATTGTATTACATTATGTACCTGTAAATACTGTATATTGTATATCTGTTTGCCTGGTAAGGAACACAGAACTCTAGAAGAAAATAGAAAACT